CTCAACAGGGACAAAATTTTAAACAGAAAGAAATTATACAGTTCAGTGGCTGGATGGTCCCTTCCTTTGTGGGGACAGTCTGGCTTGGCAGGGTAGGCAGTGAAGTTGGAGAGTCCCCCCCATCCCCCCCCGCCCCCCCCACCTCAGGCTCATCCCTAGCTGGGGGAGTTGGGACAGGGTTTGGCGTGCTGCTGCTACGTGCTTCAAGTTGGTTCCGGCTCATAGCGATCCTATGTTGGGTTCTCCTGCTGTTGGGCTTGAACCACTGATCTTGTGATAAGCAGCAGCCCAACGCGTAACCCACTACAGGAAAACCCTTAAAACACCTGTGCACATTGCCTGAATGATTGCATTTAAAAAAAAAAAAAAAAATTCAGGAGGAACTTTCCATCAATGCAAAGTTTTAGTTTCTAAGCCAGATCTAAAGTTTCATACTAAATACAGATACACAAACATATTGTGGCATCTGCAAGCAGAAACTCCATCACCATAGGCAGAAATATAACAGACCATTTGTTCCTCCATGTCCTTGTATATTAACAACTGAATGCATTTTGCACCAAGAGTATGTCAATCATAAGACCCACACCCCCCTTGTGCATGTGTGCGGACACACACACAAACATACACAAGTGTGTGATGTCAACTGTGAACAAGACAGGACAAGGCGGCTGTTTGTCCTGGGTAGGGGTCTGGGGAGCTGCATGCGCTGGGCCCACCTCCTCACTGGGAAGCTAGCACAGAACATACCTGATTCCTACTACCTAATAAAGAACTACTCACAACGTTTTAGCAACCCCTAGCAGGGCAGCAAGGTGGTTACGAATTGGGACGTTAATCTCATGGTCAGCAGTTCGAAACTACCAGCTGTTTCGTGGGAGAAGGATGAGGCTTTCTGCTCCTGGAAGATTAACAGCCTTGGAAACCCCATCCAGGGTCTCTTTGAGTCAGACCAACTCCATGGCACATAAGCAGGGCAGCAAATGTTTCCAGTCGACTCAGTGGGTGGGCACTTAATTCCTGCAGCTTTTCCTCCTCTGCCTGCCTCAGTCCCTCCCCTGGCAGGAGCTGGAGAGAGCAGCTAAATTCCAAAATCACAGTGCTGTCTCCATTAAAAAATAAAAATAAAAATCAAGAGTTGTCAGCACCCTCCGTGTGCCTAGACAACCTGATGTCATGACTCTGTGTCTATCACTTGGTGACTATGGCCAAGACCGATGCACACATGCACACTACATCTGCAGGACACCAGCTCCCAGGTACCACTGTGCAGCAAGGGACGGGACTGGCCTGGCTTCTCCAGAGCTGCCCCTGCCTGTGTGAGGGTCTTCCCCTGAGCCTGCCAGGTCCCAACAGTGGACCTGGGGTCATTTCTCCAGGGAAGTCTTACTGCAAAGAGCCACTGTGGCTATTAAAAGGAAAGCCCCAAAGACAGGGAGGGCATTAGAATGGGATGAGCAGGGCCCAGCAGCCACTTGCCTCTTGAATACAGAAAGAAGATCTGGGGCCACGTCTCTACTACTAGAACTCAGGGTCACAGTGTCTCTGTCTGCTGTAATCTGGCTCACAAACTACAGTCCCCATCTTGTGCTGCAGGGAAGTATGAGAGAGGGAGGGTCAGAGCCCAGGCCAACCTTGCCTTTCCTGCCACCAGACACAGCTCTCACCTTGGGCGACACTGAACCACATCAGTGTGCACCTTAATGGCCACGAGTAGCTGGTCCCCCATTACAGAGAGTAAGGTCAAGGCGTGTATGCAGGCTACTGGGGAGTTCCAGGGGCCAGATGTTCTCTTACCTCTGTGAGCTAACAAGTGGACATAAGAGATGATAGGAGGGGCAGAAGCAGCCTTGTGCTATCAGTAACTTGGGGCTCAGCGTGCCCTGATGCCTTACTGATCTGTCTCCTCGGGCAGAGCCAACCCACCCGGCTCCAGCATGGCTCCCAATGCCACTCCCTGAAAGGCCTGCCGCTCTCCTGAACACACTGCTGGTGGTGCCCACGTGACAGAGATGATATGATGGTGATGAGGGTGAAGACGATTACATCAGGGCACTTCAGGAATCACAGTGTAAGCTCCACTCTTCCCCAAACAAAAACAAACCTCCTATCTGACTCACCAGTGCACTCAAACCAGGGCTGGTTCAGTCCACTGTAAAATTAACAAGTTTAAAAACTGGATCTACCAATTTTAAGAACAATTTAAGATCCTTTAAGATATTAAAGGATCATTTTTACAGTCATTGACATACTCATATATTACAAAAATAACAGAGTACAATTACCATACCAAGACTAGACAATGATTTAAAGCTGGTATTAAAAAACAAAACCAAAAGGATCCTACTTTGCCATTCATTCTTTAGATCTACAGATCTGAAAAACTGGTTAAGAGCTGTCTTGATCCAGACGCTTCTGGACCAAGTCAGCTCTCATTTTAAAATAAATTACTATTCTTATTTCACATGTTAAAAAAACTATGGGAAGTAAGTTAAATGTAATTTAGATCCAAATACCACTTCCGTGGCCCAAGGCTTACTTCCTAGGCAGGCCTTGCTTGTCAGGGTGGACCAAATAGGTCCAGGTGGAAATGGTGTGTGGATAGCACAGATTCAACATAATCAAGGTGAAAAGTGCATTTCTTTCACGGGAGTGGGAATGTTGGATGCTGCCCTCAACAAAAACGGACTTTCTTTGTGTTCTGTGCTCTGCAGATTCTGTTCTTAACACCCCTTGCTTTCCTTTGGTTCCATTCAGATGGCTCAAGCCACACCTTTAGCTCTCATAGTCACAGGCTTTGACAACCAAGAAGCTCAAAGAGGAGTTTCCGCTTTTGCCAGAAGAGCTAACAACTTCACCACCAGAAACACTGACTTGAAGCTCATGCAATTGGAATGCAGGAATCAGACCTAATGGGGCTCTGAGGATGAAACTCTATTTAATAAAGCTGAAAGAACTAAGAGTCAAAACAGGGTTTACCAGATAACCTTTTCTTTAAAGGTAATGGTACAGCTACATTAATCTCCCATACCCAATGCCTTATTTTCAGGGTGAGTTTTTCATGATCTCACTGAAGAGATCCATTTAGGTTATATCCCCAATCCTATACTTGCTCCCATTCTTAATTTATTAAAAAAGACCAAGAAAGCATTTCTCATTGGCTGGTGATGTGGTCTCCCATCTCATCCCCATTTTGGCAGTGACAGTATATCAAGGTGCTACAAAGACCCCTGGGTTGGGTAAGTTGGTTGGTCCCTGGTTTTCCATTAGGCCACCAGCCACAGCCTTGGGCCTTAATTATGCTGCAGGGAGCAGTGAGGCCAGGAGTCTGCCTGGACTTTCAAGGAACCTGTGATTTCTGTCTCTTTGAGACAAACCAGAAACCAGGAAATTCAATGACCCAATGATGCAGGAAGAGATGTCATGATGTACAGGTCACTGGGCAACAAGCCCAAAGCTCATGCCCGTCCTATGCCTACTGTGGATGTGCTGGGGGCAGGACAGATGTCATTTAAGACATTCAGAATGTGAGTGGCAAGGGGCCGTGGGGGTGAGGGTGGGGCTCTTCAAAGTGAAAATGTGGAATGGTGCGACAAAGTCAAAGAAAGTGGCATCTTTGTCGATGGCATTTTTCAACACACGAAGATGCGCTACTGAGCAGGTGAGAGTCTCCCCCTGGAGCTGCAATTACCGGAGGTGGGAACTGCAGGAGGGGCAGCTGTGGGGCACAGGCGGCTCCCCAGAGAAGGTGCTCTTTCCTGGGGCCACATCCAGCACCTTCCACTTCTTGTCATCCTGATCCAACCCTGCAGGCTGGAACATGCAAAGCTCTGCACCCACCTGGGACCTTCATCCAGAGAGGAAGGGGCGGTGGGGGGTGGGCAGGAGCGGGAGTAAGAGTGTGCTGAGACTTTGGGTTCCCCTTGCCTGCAGCCACACCTAGGGTGGCCCCAATTCTATGCACCTGGGTTTATGTCACAGCTAAGGCTAAGGCCTCGCCCTCCCAGCCTGCCATGGGGGAATCTCAGAGCTGCTTGAAACTCTGCTCTCTCCCTTGTACCCAAACCTCTCTCCCCAAATCTTGCAGGATTCAGGTGGCGGAAGTCTGCAGCTGGCTTTCGCAATGTGGCTTCATGCGGCCTGACATTTGGTTACACCAAATACAGGGTGGAAGGTGGGTGGGTGAGAGCACTGGCTCAGGGATTCAAATATGCTAATGAAGGGCCTTCCTCTGTCCTCCACACCTAGGGCGGACACCTTTGTGCCCAGTCAGTGGGGCAAAAACACATGTGCACTGCACCCTGATGTAGGCCAGCTCTCCAAGGAGAACAGACCTGGGGTTCTCCCTGGAACCCATGGCCTACTCACTGCCCAGACCCACCTGTTGTACAAGATGTCCCTCACACACTACACGCAGGCCCCTCTGACAGCCGGGCTAGGTGGGGTGTGAACAGGATGTGCAAACAGGCCACTCTCTGCCTGGTGTGTCTGAGCCTAGATCTGAGTCTCTTCCAAAGCATTAAACCCAGGACTCAAAGAACAGCAAATTAAGAAACAAAAACTGATACAGAACTCGAAGGCAAAATTAGAATGACCAAGTTATTTAGCGTAATTCTTCCAATAACATCTGTTGATAGATCCATTAAAACCCAGTGCATTCTCAGATGTGCTCTCAGGCCCACACACAGGTCCACTCATGCAGGACACGGATTATGTGTCCTACATGTACCTCAAGAGAAGCTCAGGTGGCAAAATGCCTCCAAAGGCTATAAACTGGATCTGGTTACCCAGGAAGGCCTGGGAGCCTTTGGGAGGCAGGAGAGCTGGGTTTGTAAATTATAACCTTCTGTGATCACCTTGTTTTTAAAAAAAGTATGGCCAGCATATTTTCACAATTCAGAGGAGTGGAGGCTGGACACCCAAGGAAGGATGGCTCTAGGGCAGACGTTAACGTTTTCACAGGACGACGATGAAGATACCGATATGTTGTACATTTGGCTTCACAGCACTGTGGCCTGCACGACGATCTCTGGGTTCTCGATGTCTCTCTTGCTCTGCACCATCCTGAGCTCTAGCTGGGCTGGGGTGGGCTTCTGTCCCTTCCCAGCCTGGGCTGCAAGAACACACACAGCATTAAAGGCAAGGTGCAAGAAGAGGAGCCAACATTCTCCTGTCCTCCCTCCCTGTCTTGCCTGTCCAAGCCCCCTACACCTCCCAGGTCTTGTTTCAGACAGCCCACCACACTGCCACCCCCACCCCCCGCCCCCAGGATGTGGCCAGCAGAGAGGGTGGCCCATTCATGAGGAGGAGACTGGTCACATGACCTTTCCTGTGCAGTCTGTCTTCCCACCCTTTTGTCCAAGGCTCCTGCAGTCTCTGAGCACAGGAGTGTCTCACAGCAGGAAGGGACCCCTTCCCCAGCTTTCCCTGGGCAGTACCTTTTGCGCACTGGATGGTCCTTTGCAGGACATGGTGCATGGCAGACACGGTCTTCTCACATGCCACCTGTGGAAGAGAGAGGCTTGTGTCCCTGCCCAGCTCCTAGGAGCCACTAACTGCCCTGGATGGGGTTCTGGAGTATGGCTCTACATCAGAGAGGACCCCAAGCTACTACATGCTTTCCACATGGATGTCTCGGTACCTTGCAGGGGAGAGGCGAAGGCCCCACCAGAGCCCTTCACCATACAAATTCAGATATGCTGCATACCCATGCAAATGCATTCACAGGCATTTAACCATACGGAATGGGGTAAGGAGGCAGGCGACAGATGCCTCAACAACTCAACTTCTCAGCTCCTGAACGCTCCCTAGCCAGACAGTTTACAGGTCCACTGGTATACAGACTGCTTCTAAGACCCAAAGAGTGGTATCATGGCAGGTGCCTCCCCCATAACTGGGAAGGGCTGTCTCATGGCCTCTGTCATTACTGTCTGGCAGGTCACCTTTAGCCCTTTAACCAGTTGTAGTCTAGTCATACCGAGTCATGACAACCCCACGTGTGTCAGAGTAGAACTGGGCCCCACAAGGCTTTCAATGGCTGGTTTTTTCAGAAGATAACCAGGCCTTTCTTCTGAGGTACCTCTGAGATAGCCTGGAACATCTGAGTGGATTAACCATTTGCACATCACCCAGGAGCTCCACCTGGCATGCAAGGGGTACTTGAGAAGTATGTGTAGAATGAATGGGCCATCAAAGTCTATTGGGTAGGGGCAACACTTGATGGCATCTCGGTCAGAGCTAGCTGTTCAGTAGGGGGTGAGCGCTGTGAAAGTCATACCCACTCCAACCAATGCTATGACCCCACAGCTGGGCTCCACAGGAAAAAGACGAGGCTTTCTGCTTCTGTAAAAATTTACAGCTTCAGAAACCCTAAACAAGGTCACAATTGCAGCGAATGATGTGGGTGGGTATCATACAGACCTATTAACCCAGCTGTCTGCCATGTGCCTGCTACCCTGTCACATGACCATCTCTGCACAGGGGAGACACGAAGGCCCAGACTAAGCCTTCACAGTACAAATTCCAATGTACCCCATCCACATAGTTATTTACTGAATTAAGACCCATCAGGGTGGAAACTGAGCCGGCATCAGGCATATGGTGCTGATGTGGCCAGCAGTGCGCCATGCTAACCTTGAGATTGTTGGGATGCTTGTGAGTCCAAGCCAGGAGCATGGCAGCAAAGAGGTCCCCCGTGCCCACGAAGACAGCATCCACCTTGCGCATCTCCATCCGGATCCGCTCTGTTGTAATGGAGCCATCAAGCCGCCCTGAAGGATGCAGACATCAAGGTCTTTTGGTACCTGAGGCTCAGGGTCACAGCTGCCCTGCCCAGCCCCACTCCTCCACTGCACAGCAGCAGGGAATGGCATTGACAGAGACAGAGGCAGGCGTGGCCTCATTTAGGGGCCCAAGGCACCCCCATCCACTTGCCCCCTTGGTCTCTAGTCTTCTGTGTGACTATCATGCAGAAAAAAAATCAACCTAGAGCATCAAATGCAGACAGTCCCTGGATTATGCATGAATCTGTCTTTTTTTTTTTTTTTTGAGAAGACAAAACATTTAGGTAATGTCAAGTGAGTCAAATACTTGATAGTTTGTTTCTATGCATAAAAACCACTAAAGGAATACTTCCAAATACACCACAGTATATATCTTGAATTTTTTTATATAAAGGCTTGATTTGTACCTTTGGATTATACTTAAGTTAGACATTTGTAACCCAAGGACTGCCTCTGCAATTCAACAAGCAGCAAGAAAACGGAAATGTCCTTCCAGGAAGTCAGTGTCTGAAGGGTCTCTGAGGTGACCTGTGCAGTCTGCGGTCTGCAGTCAAGGCCTGTACCCCATGTTGGAGGTTGCTGTCATAACCATCTGAGTACTGCCTGTCCACATGCTTGGGTCAGAGCTGTCAGCATTCTCTGTGTTCCCCTGTCCCTGTTCTTGGGTGTTTCCCTGGATCTGCTTTCTGCCAGAGCTTCCCATGGATGGGAAAGTCAGTGCACCTCTCCTTGCAGAATCAGGCCCACCCACCTTTCTTTGTGTGGGACTCTCTCTCAGGCTCCCATCAGAGCTGTGAAACCCCAGCAAGATGTCCCCTCCTTCATGGTCATGTGTGTGTGTGTGTGGGGCATACTCACTTGTCCTCTGGCTGCCCAGTGCAATCAGGTAGTCGTTACCCTTTGGGGAAGGCAGATCAGAGCTGGTGATGACCACGGTGTCGGGGCCCATGGAGTGCAGCACGTCCATCACCTAGTATGGCAGGGACAGCAGTTACCTTGGCTCCATGCCACACAGTGCATATCCCAGGGGATTCGGTCTTATGTCCATTATGAACCATGCACAGCTGATAGACAGATGCTCACATGCATCCCAATACACATTCTGGCAAACGAGCCCATTGTAAGAGAGTGTGGGAGGTAACAAAGGCTGAAAATTTAGAAAACTGCCCCCTGGTCGTAGGCCTCCTTGTGTCCTAAGAAATGGCTTTTCTGGTGTGGAGTATTAGTTCTGCCAGCACCTACTGTGAGGAAGCATCTAAAGTGTGTTCATCTCAGGTCAAAGCAACATCATAGCAACAACAGCTTCCACCTTTCCATGATCCCTAATGAACCGTGTTACGGATGAATTGTGTCCTAACCCCTGCACCTGTAAACATGACCTTATTTGGAAAGAAGCTCTTTGAGATGCTATCACAATTACCATAAAGTCAACTTGAGCAGGGTAGGCCCTAATCTAATAGGACTATCATCCTAATAAAAGAAACACAGAGACATGAAATGCCATGTGATGCTGCAGCTGCAAGCCAACCTGAAGCCACAAGAATTTGGAAGACACAGGCCTGGAACAGACTCTCCTTCAGAACTTAAGAAGCAACTCGGCTAACACCATGATCTCTGACTCCTAGCTTCCAGAACTGTTGTTGGTTGAACCCATCCACTTGTTGTTGTTAAGTGCCATGGAGTCAGTTCTGACTCACAACAACTCTGTATAGTTACCGAGGAGCAACTGATGGATTTGAACTGCTGACTTTGTGGTTAGCAGTCCAGTGCTTTTCCCACAGCACCACACCAGGACCCACTTGGTGGTACAGCACCCACTCACTCATTCATTTGCTCAACATCTCTTGTCGTGTGTCAGGCAACATCTAGGGCTGATGGACCCCTACCTTGCAAGCGATGTGCTTGGAGATAAATGCCTCTTCTGAGGTACAGAGGGCACAAGGCAGGACTGGCTACATGAGACCTGAAGGCTATGGGGGAAGGGCCCTGAGGAGCAGTGATTCTGGAGATGCCCCTTCCTGGGGTCACTCTGAGAACCATCTCCCCGCACAAGACTCACATGCAGCCCTGCATCTCACACAGTGGTGTGAGAACTGCCAGTGCTTGGGACCAGTGTTAGTAGATGCTGGGCTGCTACCATGAGGTCAGCGGTTTAAATACTCATCAGTGTCTCTAGAGGAAAAAGATGAAGCTGCATGCTCCAGTTAAGAATTAACAGTCTCAGAAGCCCTATGTAGGGTCGCTATGACTTGAAGGCATTGTTTGGGACCAGTGTCGGTCCATTAGGACCTGTCACAGCATAGTGGGTTTGCCTGCCCCCTTGTCAACCAGTCCTTGTCCACTAAGCTGAGGCCTCGGGAGTAACCACAGCCAGGTGGACATGGCATGGGACAAGAGGAACTGAACTCTCTCTGGACGTGCTTTTCTCTTACACGCAGTTGTGAGGGTCCTCTCCTCACCACACTACTATCTTCAAGCAACAGAAAGTGGGAAACAACTCTGAAGGAGAAATCCTAGCTGTGGATGGCAGCGACAGCAACTGGCCCAGAGCTTGTGTCGGCCCTGGCCTGCCCCATGATGGGTCACACTAATCACAGTATTAATCTCTGTGTAGACATAGCCTCCTGGTTCTATTAGAGGAGCCCTGGTGGTGTAGCCGTTAAGTGCTCAGATGCTAACCAAAAGGCCAACAGTTGGAACCCATTGGTCGCTCTATGGGGGGAAATTGTTGTTATTGTTAAGTGCCGTAGTAGAGTCAGGTTCTGACCCGTAGAGAGCAGCTGGTGAACTTAAACCGCAGCCCTCCCAGTGCAAGCGGACTTTGCGGTCCAGCACATTAACCAACAGTGCCACACCAGGACTCCTCTGTAAAGCCTAAGAAATGATATGGGGCAGTTCTACTCTGCCCTGCTGGAATCTACTTGGTGGCAATGGGCTTTTACTAGTTCTGTTTCTCTGAGGGAATCCAATGGATACAGATTTTTTTTTTAGTTGCAGCCAGGAAGCAATAACTAGAAGGTGCTAGAACGTTCTAGGGGTTCATTGGCTGCATCCCTTTCTCTGTCAGCACGCCATGTGCGGTCCATGACCCAGGCATCTGCGACATCCTCCGCGGTCTGAGGATCCAGGCCTTCTGTTGCAGATATTCAGGTCACAGGTGCTACGCATACCTGTCGCTGTAGGTATTGGAGTGATTCTGCTCTGCTGGATGCTGGGAAATGATACATCAGCTAAATTGTGCATGGGACTCACACAGTGCCAGTGCCCAGCAAGCATTCAACAACGCTGGTGACTTTATTAAGAGCCAGTAGACAGTCTATTGGCCAACTTCCTGACAAGCACTGAGATGGAGGCTGGCATGCCCTGCAGGTGGGTGACTGTCCCCACCATGTGAGCAATGAGGCCCTGTCTCATATAAGCCCTCCTCCCAAGTGAGTGCCATCTTCAGTCGATCTGCCTTACCGCCAGAGCTTCTTCTTGACTGTGGATCTTTCTGCCACTCAGTAATCTGCAAGAGAGGCAAGGGACACATGAGACATCTCCCTCCTTCCAGGAACCCCACCACCACCATAGGAGGCTTGGACCTGAGAGCTTGCTTCTTTAACAGAACCCCACAGCTATGGCAAAACAGTGCCCACTCCACAAAGGGAGCTAACTCGCCATCTGTTGGCCAAACCACCTTTGTCTAACGCAGCTGAGAATGTTCAGTTACTCTGCAAATGACCATAAAAACAAATAGACAAATTGAGAATGCAGAATCTGGGAAGAATGAAGATAGGCTGAACCTATGTCTTAATTACTCAATTCTGCTATACTAGAAATCCTGGTGCGGTACTATAGGATTAGCACTGGACTACATACCACAAGGTTGGCAGTTCAAACCTACAACCTGCTCCTTAGAAACCCTATATACAGGGTCACTATGAGTCAGAACTGACTCAACGGCACTCAACAATATTAGAAATGGAGTCCTCATGTAGTGCCGTAGGATAAGCACTAGCCGCGGTGGTTCAAACCCAACAGTCACTCCTTGGAAACCCTATACAGGGTCGCTATGAATCATGGCACTTAATAAAAAACATAGTCGAAATGACAAAAGCGGGTGGCTGTATCAAACAGAAAATTATTCTCTCACAATCTAGGGGGCTGGAATTCCGCATTCAGGGTGCTGGCTCTAGAGGAAGGCCCTTGTCTGTTTTGAGTCTGTTGCTGGGTGATCTTTATGTGGTTTGGCATCTCTCTCCCTGCATCTCTGCTTGCTTCTTTAATCTCTCTTTTAACTTCATCTCAAGAAATTAACCCAAGATGCACCCTACATTAATCCTGTCCCATTGATATAATAAAACACAGCCCATTCCTCAAACGGGATTATAATCACAGACACGGAGGTTAGGGTTTACAACACCTATTTCTGGGGGACACAATTTAATCTACAACAATCTCCTTATGGCACAGACTAAAATCAAGGGAAGGCTCACTGAGTTCTGTCCTGCGTGGGCACTTAAGAGTGCCCCAGAACCCAGACTTCTCTCCACACACTGAGCAGAACCATCCTGGGGACAACTCAGTGGAATGAAGCCCCGTCCCCAGCAGACATGGAGTAGAGTTCTCTGTAGTTCCTCCCAGGCAGGGGCAGGTCCGAGAACTTCAGCAATTTCAAAGTACTTACTCAGCTTCAAACTGGTTGGGAGTTATAATGTCTGCAATGGGCACCACCTTTTCTTTGTAAACTGGAAGGAGATCTTCTGGAACATACTGAAAGAAACACATGTTCATTTACATTCAGGAAAAGGAAGTTACATGGTGAGCAACTGCAGGGAAGTGGGGTTCCTCTCGTCAGACCCAGGGAGTCCTTCACATGGGACCGTCAGCTAAAGCACTGCCAGGGACTGTGAAGGGAGAGCTCGGGGGCTGTGAGGGTACAGTAGGGGCCTTGCTGTTCACATTCAGGGGCAGTGAGAGTCTGTGAAGAAGGCCCAGTTCAGGAGGCTCAAGGACCTGGGTGGCCAGAGCACAGGACGGAGGGAGACGAGAACCAAGGCATCTGGAGGATGGTGGTAACAGCCAAGCCCTCACTATTATCCTGGGGAGAGGTGGCTAGGGGGCACACAAGGGGCATATGGGGTGCTGGTCTGTGCTGATATGGGTAAAACCAAAACCCACTGCTGGGAGTCAATGCCAACTCCTGGGAAGCTCGTGTCTATCAGAGATCTTTGCTCCATAGGATTTTCAGTGGCTGCTTTTTCTGAAGTAAATTACCAGGACCTTCTTCTCATGTGCCTCTGAGTGAACTCAAACCTTCAACCTTCCAGTGAAGAGTTGAGTACATTAACTGTTTTCATCACTCAGGGACTCCTTGATCTGGGTACCAGGAGACTAAGCCACGCTCTTCTCTGTATGTACATAAGCGAGGGTATTTAACACTTTCTGTCTACTAAGTTTTTGTTGCTAAGTAGTCTGATAAAAAATTCTATACAAGCAGGTTTTCTTTAATTATCAGATTTGCTCAAAAAGAAGCCAGACCCTGAAATGCACTAAAGGTTACACCATTTTTTTTTTTTTAAAACAAACAAAAAGAAGTCAAAAGCCAAACTCCGTTGTAAGCATCTGAAAGATGCTATTAGCTTTATGGAATGCTCTGCTAGTTACTTGCCCCAGTGAATGCATGCTAGGTTAGAGTTCTTTTCCATTACTGTGTCCCAGAGGAACCTCCCTTGGCCTCGACCTCTAGATGCTCCCAGAAGATGAGGCAGCACAAGATGTGATTCCAGACAAGGCTCAGGAGGCACTAGAGGGCAGAGCAGAACCCGGAACCCGGCCCATGATACAGGTTGTCTGAGCCAGATACACTGACTCACGTCTATGCTTGTTTTGGAGCACAGTGGAACATAATCAAAACCAAGATAACAAACCCCAGAGTCCCAGTGACCTGGACAGTGGCCTCAACTCTTCAGGATCTAAACAAGAGTGCCAGCTAGGCCTCCCATGTCAGCTGAACCCCCAGTAGGGGGCAGCAAAAGGAGAAAGGGAGGGAAATGCAGAGATTGTGGGTGTAAGGAACCATCTAGATATTAGGCCCAGCTAGTGCAGTGTAGTGGTTACAAATTGGGTTGTTAATATTACAGTCAGCCATTCGAAACTACCAGCTGTTCTGCGGGAGAAAGACAAGGCTTTCAGCTCCCGTAAAGATTTACAACCTTGGAAACCCTGTACAGGCTGGCTATGAGTCGAAACCAACTCCACGGCACATAACAACAAGAAGTGTACAGCTACCATGCATGTCAATGGAAGATTTTGTGTTGCTACAATGCTGAACAGGATTCAAGAGTTTCCAGATTAAGTAAAAAAAAAAGTTTTCAGACCAAAACTGCAAAGAAAAGCCCGGTGACCTACTTCCATATATCATCAGCCAGTGAAAATGCTATGAATTATCATAGTCCAATCCCCTTTGCAGGGAGTCACCATAAGTCAGGGGGCTGAGCTAAGGGCAGCTCACATCAGCAACCACCACTACCCATGTTTGGATGAACAGCTGCCCCCCTCACCACCTGTGAGCATGCATGGACCACTCACCATTGAACCTTCACCGTTCCACTTGTCCCCCATCACCGGGTCACACACTGCAGAGACACATAGGCATTATCAGCAAAGCAGCAGTGTTAAGTAAGGAACCTTTGACATTTTCCTTTAAATTCCATGTACATATTAACACAACTGAAAGTTCAAGGGGGAACATCTGCTCCCATTCTCATCTTTCCTCCTGTTACATGGCCGTGATCACAGCATGCCTCTTTCAGACATGTGGTCAGTGAGGTCTGAGGACCACAGTGTGTCTGAGAGTCCTGTGTCCCTTGGTGAGCAACCTCAGTCATGGAGCTGGGGCTGGGGCTGCAGCTCCTTCTCTGGGGTGACAAAGAGGGAAAGACACAAACACAGCAGATCCAGGACACAGTCCTGTCCTGTCCATCAGGTCAGCATGCCCGGCAGGGAGCACACCCAGCCACTCACATTCCCACCTGGACGGGGGTGGTGGTGGTGTCACACTGGACTCGATGGGGAGGAGGGGTCCTTCAGAGCAGATTAGACAGGTCTGACCCCAAGGGAAGAGTAATGGACCACATCTTGTCTTTTACCCAGTGAGTCCTGTAGCTGTGAGGCCTGGAGCCCTAAATTGCTGCCCAGTGGACCTCACATCTGTCCTGGCCTTAACACTGGGACACTAATTACTAACATCACACCAGGTTTACCAATATTATCTAAAGTGTCTTAAAGGTCCACATTTTGGGGACCAGCAGACACAGAGGCTATAACCGGAGTTAGTGAAAAACTCGGGGAGCCCCAAGGGAGGCCTTCCCACACTAGCACTGGGAGCTATCATTGTGCCTAGCAGTGGTACCTAGCATCAGGTGGGGCAGTGCCTACCATACACGAGGCTGGAGTTCTGCTGCTTCAGTTCCTGTACAATGTCCACCACCATAGCCAGGAAGGATGCATCCCGTGTGTAACCTATGGAGGGAGATCCGTTATACGCTTGGGAGGTCCATGCCAAACACATAAGAAAAAGTGCCCATCAGAGGTATCCAACCTGGCAGCACTATTTACAACAGCAAAAAGAGAGAGATAGCCAAAGTGCCCATCAACTGAAGAATGCATGAACAAACATCGAATACTATGCTACCTTGAAGAAAAACAAAGAAGCTGCACGCTACTGCATAACATGGATGAATCTTGAGGGCATTATGTTGAGTGAAATTAGTCAGTCACAAAAGGAGAAATACTGCATAGGACCACTACTATGGAAGACTAAGAAAAAGAACCCATAGTAAAGGGGGGTGGGGGGGGT